TAAAACTATATTATATAATTATATAATTAAAAAATTTTTATAAATTTAACTTCTACTCCAAATCGTCTTTTTATTTAAAAAACAAATTATAAAAATTTGTATCTCTCCAAGTTGGTGAATTCAAAACTTATTTACAATCTTGTCAATTTATATTAGTTTGTACCAACATTGTCTTGTGACCGCTAATATTATATTTTATTTATCCTCTTCCCGTTTCTGTTATATTTAAGAAAACACTTATCACCGAAACATCTTTGTGATTATTCGTATTGGCGATCTATAAAAGAAGAAACATATCTTTGACAGTAATAATATTTAATCCGAATAATTATACATACATTTTATGACGTAAGTCTAAAATATATTATATATATATGTATTTAGAATTATGTTATATGCGTTTGTTTTCATTAATACGCGCGTTCGATATATGATTATAGAATATTTCTTATATATTATTAATCATTTAACAATTTTATCTTAACACGTATACAATATGAATACAAAATAATGCAAGGAATCGATTAATCTATTAACATATCTATATAAAAAAAAAATTCTTAAAATAAAAAAAAATTATCTAGCTATTCTAATAAGCAAATTCTTTTTTTTATTGTCAGATTTACTTGTTAAAATAATATATAATTTTGTTCTTAATATTTTGTTAATATTATATTATAACATAATATTAACATAATATTTCATCTTTAAAAACTAGAAATATGTACTCTGTTAAATGTTTTATTTTGTATATAATTTGCTAACAATTTTTACGTTTCATAGTTATATGTATAACATCACGTTTACTTCAAATCGAGCATTATGGGACCCGTTCCGTCCCTCACCCTCAAAGAAAATGATCCCCCATATGAAAATGATATGGCAAACGATGATGCTTTTAGAGAAAATAATAATTTCGAAGATATAGATGATATTATAGTGAACGGTGATGCCTTTAGAGAAAATATTAATCTCGAAGATATAGATGATATTATAGTGAACGGTGATGCTTTCAGAGAAAATATTAATCTCGAAGATATAGATGATATTATACCGAACGATGATGCCTTTAGAGGAAATATTAATCTCGAAGATATAGATGATATTATAATGAACGATGATGTCTTTAGAGGAAATATTAACCTCGAAGATGAAGATGATTTTATAGCGAACGGTGATGCTTTCAGAGAAAATATTAATCTCGAAGATATAGATGATATTATACCGAACGATGATGCCAATAGTGAACATATTAATCTCGAAGATATAGATGATATTATAATGAACGATGATGTCTTTAGAGGAAATATTAACCTCGAAGATGAAGATGATTTTATAGCGAACGGTGATGCTTTTAGAGAAAATATTAATCTCGAAGGTGTAGATGATATTATAATGAACAATGATGTCTTTAGAGGAAATAATCTTTTCCAAAATGAAGATGATATTATACCGAATAATGATGCCTTTAGAGGATATAATTATTTCCAAGGTGAAGATATTATACCGGACGGTGATGCCTCTGCAGGAAGTAATGATAATAAAAATGATAGACCACCATTATACATGTTATTATTTGCACCTACTCTCGAATATATAAAAAATGTATATAAAATTCATTACTTGATTTAGATAGGTGATATTTTACGCATTTGTTATTACGTGATAGTTCTGTACATCTCATTGCAACAATTCTTCGACGAATTCGAAATTGCAGTGGTTAGCTGTCCCTGTCTATCCAGACCGCCCTACGATTTTGCTGCGGTTGGTAAGAAACATAATAACAAGCATTTTTGATCTTCCGCGTTCAAAATGCAATACATTTACATAATGTGTTTTACATTTTAACAGGACTATCTGGCAACACGGGGATTTTGCAAATGGGTGATATAAATAATATTATCCCAATCCCGCAGACAGATCTCATATTCGATATTCAATCTATATTATCAAGTTATTGCTACGATTTCTTTGTTATTGGATCAGGTTTTGCTGCAAAACCATTAATGCCTTACAACGGTTATGTATGTATAATCGAGATTTTTACACACAAAAACACCTAATGGCTTCACGAAAAGAAATAAAATGTGGAAGCAGATTATTGTTTTATTCTTACTATTTTTATTACTATATTTGTTTTATTTTAATTATATCAATTTAATAATTTCAGTAGCGGTTCTATTTATTTTAATCCCATATTTATCTCTTTGTCTCTCTATTTATAAGAACGCATTTCTGTTACAGCTTATTATAAACGCGATAATTTCAGCAAATTTCACGAATGTTATTAATAATAGTTGTATCGTTTATGAAGATGCTAATACTGGGCAGAGAATATCACAAATTATCAACGATCCCAATCAAATCAAATGCTCTATGTTGGGCAACTTCTATTTCAGTGAAGGTAGACGAGGAATGGTAATTAAAATGCGCGCTATATATATATATATATATATATA